CCCATATGAAAGTGTGGACACCAGAACTAGACACAGTATCCAGTACTCGTCTGGCTAACGCCACACACAGGGGTGATGTCACCTACTTTCCCCTGCTAGCTATTCTCATTTATACAAACAAGGATTGCGTTCACCATCTTAGCTCCAGCATCGGTCTGGGAGCTCACATTCAAGTCCTTTTCAGAGTCACTGCTTTCCAGGATACAGTTTCCCATCCCGTAAGTGTGACCTGTATTCTTTGTTCAGAGATGTGTGACCTGGCATTTGACCATGTTGAAATACATGTTTGACAAAATGGGAATTTTCACTCAGGCCATTGCACTGGTCCTGTGGATCCATGACAGCATGTTGTTAGTGTGAACCCACCTTACCAAGCAACACAGGTCAGTCTGTAGTACTGACCTGTCCCCATCGTTATGTACCACTCCACCAATGTTTGGGTCATCTGCAAATTTTACCATCAATGATTTTATATTTCCTTCCAACTCTTTGATAAAGCTATTGTATAGCATTGGCCCAGAACAGATCCCTGTGGAACCTCACTAGAAACATCCCCATTGGAGGATGATTCGCCATTACAATTACTTTGAGATCTATCAGTTAGCCATCCATTTTTAATCCATTGAATGTGGGCTACCTTGATTTTGTACAGTGCTAATTTTTGTTATCAGAGTTTCATGCAGAACTAAGCCAATGCTCTTCAGAGTCTGAGTCCTGGTCTACACTACAAAGTTAGATTGGGTTAATTACATCGTTAAGGGCTGTGAAAAATTTATCTCCCTGTGCAATGTATTTAAGCCAAACTAAGCTCCTGTGTAGACACAACTAGGTTGATGGAAGAGTTCTTCTATCAACCAAGCTACCGCCTCTCAGAGAGGTGGATTTATTACAGCCACAGAAGGACCCCTTCTACCACTGTATTAAGTGTTTACCCTACCGCAGTGCTGCTGTAGCGTTTCTAGTATAGACACATCCTGAATCTATGTCAGCACAGTTACCTTTATCAATCAGATGCGCCAACTCCTCCAAGAACGATATTGAGTTCATTTCACAAGACTCAGCCCAGATCTTGACAGGCAGTTTGTCCAGATAACAGAAATCTCCATCACTAATAGCCCCACAAATCAGGTTAGAAGGACATTTCCTCTCTCAATACCAGAAATAGGCCCTAGCTGAGTGCAATTCTCAAGTGACTCAGGCCCCACATTCCCGTGGTGACCCCTGTAAGCCTTGCTGGAGCCCTAGATATAACTAAAAGTGTGAACCAAAGGCTGTGAATTAGAGTAGATTGGGCCTTGGAAGAATAACAGCACACCAGGTAAGCACATTCCTGAGTGGAGAGGATGGTGCAATGATACAACAGATCTCTCAAGTAACTATGTAAACACTTTCATAGGAGATGGTACAGGAAAACACTGACCCCTTGTAGGATAACGATGGGATGACAGGGTAATGAATAAGGGTTGGTCACCAGCCATGTTTGGAGTGAAATATGTAACTTGTTTGTAGGAGAAGTCATAGGAGGGGCATCTTTGTACTAATCTTGGGGACAGCATCCTGGAGCACTGACTGAGCAGGTACCATGTCACAAGCACACATGTGTTAGTGTAACTGTAGCTCCTATGAGCCACTAGTACCATGTTTTGTTGACCATAAACCTGTCTGAGCACCTTCAACACCGAACGGAGCCTGTGATCTATTGGATGAATAACATTGACATCTGCGGAATTGACGTGCTGCTCCAACCTAAGAGCATCTGTGGAACTTCAACAACAGCAACACTGGCAGCAATAACAACTTAGCAGCCTTAACAACACTAGGCAGTACTAACAACAACCCATTCTGCATGGGGGACCAGGAAGGAACTCACCTGAGAGGTGAATGGCAGATCTCTGCTCAGTCTCCAGCAGGCCATTCCGCACTATGCAGCCGATGTCTCCATTCTCTTCCCTTTCTGTGACAGTGACGTGACTCACAACACTATACAGGTTCTCCCTGTCCTGAGTCATGTCAGTCACACTCTCCATTGCCAGGTTCTGCCAGTTCTTTCCAACCCACTGGAGTTCGGGTTTGGGGAACCAGCCTGTGGTTCTACAGGCCAGCCCGATCCCCTGATCCCGGGGGCCCAGTACATCAATGAACACTGGAGCCACAGCTGCAGGGAGAGATGGAGAGCGTGTGTATCAGGAAATCATGACTTTGGTAGCACCATGTGATTTCCCCAGCAACCACAGGATATAGGGGGCTGTGACTGCAAGCTCCATTCCTTTATGTGCAAAGCCTCCCTGGGACCCCTCATCTTGATGACTGGGGAAATTAAATAATGCCATCTTGCATTTCCATAGAGCATTGAGCCCTGAAATCTCACTGAGGAATGTGCAGGGTGAAACTGCTACAGAGATCACTGCACCAGCTGCTGAAATGCAGCCACTTCTGGGATGGAGCCCAACAGCTGTCAGAATCACTGCACTTCAGTACAGAGCAGGAAGTGGGGGATGGTGACACTGCCTACATCACTACTACGACTCCTCCTGTGCCACCCTCCTAATACTGTCCCCTCTGGTGTCCTTCTCCTGCACTGGTAACAGAGCCCCAGGCCAAGCCACCCCTCCTGCTTGGATTTCTCTCTCCCAGTGCTGCACACAACTACCCTCCCCTCCTTTCAATCTCTCCCTAAAAGCACACGTCTCCTGCAGAGCCTTTGGACTAGGAGCCACCAAAGATGGGAGATGATTTAAAACAACCTCAATGTTCTGCATTATCACAGGAGGGCCCCTCACCAGGGGCTTGATGTTTCTGAAGTGTATTGTCTGGGGCTACGTTACTCAGTGAGCTAAATGGGCAGAGACCGTCCCTTCCACTGCCCTTGTGCAGCACTGAACATGGGGTCAGTGCCCAGGGAATAACAAACAATATCCCAGCCCTTGGACATTGCAGGGGGAGTTTTAGGGAGGCCGAATATAATTGTCAGCTGACCTGGGATTTGGGCAGAACATGGGGGTAAAGGTCCCGATGACTCCAACAGCACCACAATGAGCATGAGAGCTGAGGACTGTAGCTTTACATCTCATTGAAATTAGGTCATTTAATGCAGCATTGACCCTGCTAGCACCACAGTGGGGGTCAGCACTGAGTGCGAGGGGAAAGTGCCCCCTACTGAGTCCTGCACACAGCTCCCTGCAGCACAGGACCCTAGGTGCCATGCTGGGCTCAATGTTGGGGTGCCCCCAGGGGTACAGGATGCTCTGGCTGCCCAGGCTGAGCATCCTCTAGTGCTGCATCTCACCTGCAACCCGTAGCTCAATGGTGGCTTCCTGGGTCCATTCTGGGTTCCTCACAAGACACTGGTATTTCCCATCATCTGACACTTGGAGCCGTTTCAGCTTCAGGGAGACGTTCCCACTGCTGAACTCCTGTGGGAACAGCTCCGTCCGGGTCTGGTAACCCTCCCCTGGCAGGTCCTGGGAACCCTCACCCGAGTACTTGTGAACCGGGATAAATCCTGATCCAGTTTTCCTCCACAGCACTTCCATGCTGGGCAGCCGGGCTGGGGGTGAGAGCTGGCAGGGTAACACCACATCCCGGCCAACTACCCCCACCACGGGGTGTGGGGAGCCAGCCAGAGAGAACTTCTCTGGAACAGAAAACCCCAGGAGCAGACTGAGTGAGAGGAATGAGGAGAGGGCGTCACTGAGCCAGAGCCCACCAGTTACAGACACGCAGTGAGTGAGAGGAGATGGCGTCACTGAGATAAACAGAATTCCATCAGTCGTGCATGGCTCGTAGCAGAAGGTTCCCATGTGTAGCTTAACTGAGTTACTCTCAGTGTGGACGCAGGGCAGTGCAGCCATACCACAGCTGGCACAAACTAGTCCTCCAATGCTGTCTTACAATCCCCTAGAAACTCCTCCAAGGTGCCTGTCTTGCAACCTACCTATACTCTGTTGGCAAGGAATAGCCCCAGCTGGAAGCCACCTGCCACTTCATAGTGCCCTACACAGCCCCATGGCACCCAGTTACGAGCTCTTTCCAGTGCGAGCAACTTCTTTGATGGACCGGTTTCAGATCCACGTAGCCCCACAATGGCTGCTGAGAGGCCACCTCAGAGGGCTTCTGCCTGGCCTGAGGGTATGGGGTCTTTGATGGCCCTTTGGACCGATGAACGTCCCTTTCATGGATTCAATATCCCAAACAGAAACTGGCTTAGATGGGGAGTCACCGTTCTGGAGATCAGTGTCTGGGGGGAATTAAGCATGTGAAGGTGATTTATGTGATGTCTGCACAATAGCTGTGTCTGAAACAGTGGTGCCCAAACTCCTCCTGTCGTGCCCCCCTACCAGTAATGGAATCTCTTCACACTGCCCTCCATTACTGCACAGCCAAGACTTTCTCAGCTTGGGCTGAAGGGTGAGCTGGGGGCAGAACTGGGGGTGGGGATGGAGCTGGGGCTAGAGGTGAAGCTGGTCTCAGGGTGGAGAGCGAATGATGGGAGAGTCGGGCTGGAGGCAGAGCAGGGGATGGAGTGCAGCTGCAGCTGGGTCTGGAGCTGGCCTAGGGCTGGGGCCCAGAGCTGCAGCTGGGGGCGGAGCTGGACTGGGGGTGGAGTGGAGCTGAAACTGGTATCAGAGCTGGGCTGGGAGCAGAGCACGGAGCATAGTGGAACTATAGCTGGGGCTGGGGCAGAGGGTGAGTGGAGCTCTGGCTTAGGTCGGAGCTTTTCCGGGGGCAGAGCAGGACTGGGTGGCACTCCCTCCCCATCCCCCATGGGGGCCGACCTGAGCCCCGCTGCCCCTCCCCGAACGTTCCTCCACGCCCCCCTAGGGGACCATGCCCCACAGTTTGGGAATGACTGGTCTGAAGGGTCTCCACACTCATCTGTCCCACCATGGGTCAATTGTAGAGCAATTGGTACCAAGCTGCATCACCTGACACTCACTGTGTGGCTACAGGGGGAGGGATAAGGGTGAGATTTTGAAAGCCACCAAGGAGATTTTCATACTAAGTGTTGCCAGGTCTTGGGCTACCATGTGTGTTTCATAAACCCCAGCTCCTGGAGGCATGGGATTCTATGAGGATCTTAGCTTTCATATAAAACCAAAGTCAGTTTCTAGCTCTAGTGGTTGCAGAGAAAAGCTTGAAAATGTGACCCGGTGTGACCAAAGGCTCAAAAAAGCAAGGGAAATAAGAACCAAGGGAGGAGTCACTCGGCCTCAGATGCCCCTACCCCAGCCCTGCAGGAGGCAGTGTACATGGGGGACAGGGAGGGAAATAATTGGGATTCAAACGTTTTTACCAGAGAGAGAACACGGCGCCAGGAGGAGGATTCCCAGGCTGCACACACAGAGTCGCCACCACGTCGCCATGGGGACACCCCGGGCAGGGACCTGTAAGGAGAGAGCAGGGATGGTTAACACTCCCCAGACTGCATCTGACCTGATCCACTCTGCTCCCAGGCAGAGCAGCTCCCCAGGGACAGGAGAGGATTTCACCCCACCCAGGCTGCTCTGCCGCCTGCCCAGGCCTGGCACTAGGAATTTCCACCCCTAGGCAGTGCCGTGTATCCGCCCCCATTTCCTCCCCTTGTCGGTTCTCTGACCATCCATTGGTTCAGGTGCCCCCGATTCCAGTGCAGGGGAAGTCTGCAGCAGAGCAGGGCAGGGCCACCTCTGAGCTAACCCCCGTGGTACCCAGACCGTTGTCCCGCTGCAGAAGGGGCCTGGCTGTGCCTACTTCCAGCTGGGACAACACAGCCAATGCGTGACCTGGGGCTCTCCACAGCTCACTGCATGGGGCTCTACAGCGTGAGCTAAAGAGCCAGGCTGTGCAGCTGGGGCTGTGACAGACTCACGTGCTGTGTGGATCAGGCCCAAAGAGGCCCGTCTCACACTCTGGTCAGTGGGTGACACCTGGGCACCTTTCTACAGATCAGCTTGGCTGGAAGTCACCCACCTCTGTAAGTGATGCTGCAAAGTGACAGGGACAGAGCTGGCAGTAGCTGTGACAGACACCAGGGGGTGCTGTCAGATACCTGCTCCCCCTCCTCTGACATCAACAGAAGACCATCACATCAGTAGACATTACAAGAAGATACACTGAGGGTCAGCAGGGGCCGTCTCAGCTCTGCTCAGAGCCTCAGACATTCTCCCCCCAATTCTCCAGCCTGTGTACACAGGGTCAGACTGGATGGACACAATGGGCTCTTCTGCCCTTAACGTTTGTCAATCTATTTCTGTTTCACTTCCAGCTCCCTCCAAGCCTGTCCATCATGCATTGAAATCTGCAGAGCCAGTGATAGGCATAAGCAGACTAAACAATTGCTTAGGGACCCGAGTAGCTCAAGGGGGCACCCTATTTGCTTTTTATTATAAGAACCTGCCTGTTTTAGTATGGGAGGGGGGATATTCCTGCTTAGGGCCCCCAGTGTGCTAGCATCAGCTTTGAAAAACGATTGGAATTGTAAGCTGTCTCTGTAAATGAGGGTTTTCCTGGTCCTGTTGGCAGGCAGGGGGCTCTGTAGGGAAGTGTGTGATCCAGGTCCAGCAGCAGACAGATGTAAACAGCAGCCTAGAGAAAAGTGGGGTGACCTGGGCCTCTCTGCTTTGTCTCTCTCTGTTTTGGGTCCTTGTGTGCTATCGTTCTGGATTCTAAACATTAAAGGCGTGTTACACTGCAGCCTTCCAGCCAGAGAATCTATGTTTATATCTAACTCCTCTGTGTGTGTCTCCCTTTTCAGCCCATCCAAGTCACTTGGGAATATCATGAACTGTTGGAGGGAATGCTTAAGGCCTAGACACTATAGGCCTGTGCCCAGGGGCCAAGCAGCCTCATGTCTTGTGTTTAAAAGAAAATGTAAGTTTCCTGGTTTCATGTGTGAGGAGAAAAGCTCAGAATCGTGCCTTGGGTTTAATGGTCCCAGCAACACCTGCCTGAGTCTGCAGAGAGCCGGGGGACAGAGCTCCAAGAGGGGAACTGCCCCATGCACCGCAGAGGGAGGTTTACTGCCAACCCCAACTGCTCTGGAGGCCCTGCTAATCCCACCCACCAGGGACTGTGTGTTTGATGGGGGGGAAGAACTCTGAGGACCCAGCCCCCCACTAAGCACTGCTGTAATGGTCTTGGGGTTCATTAAACAACAAACCAGTGAATGAGAAAGGAATAAAACGTTGTTAAAAACAAACTAGAGAGCTTCTGTGGTGACCTGCTGTGCACTGTTGTGCACCCTGCTTCCAAGCACAGCTCAAAATTCCTATATTCATAATACTGACACTTATGAGGGAGTGTCTCTAAATTATAATCTTCCACAAACATATCTCTACATCTTCCATCCTAAAAAAAACATTATCTCTTATATACCCATATATAAACACCGAACAGCTATCTAATAACACATACCTTAAATTCTCCACCCATCTAGTACATTTCCATAAACCCAACGTGTCAATTACCTAGAGAGGAGAGGTTACCGGCACATCCCTCTGGAGTGAGTCTTTACCACTCATGTTCCCCAGTTACCCCTTCTCCAGGCAGGTTAGCTCGTCTCTGAGTCTTTCGGGTTGTTTAATCTTCCTCTCCAATCTTCTCAGTATCAGCATTTCGTGCATACCCTACTGGTTGCCAACACCTTCCTTCAGAATAATATCTCCAACAAAAGTCAATTCTGTAACCCCTAAAACACATCTCTCCCTATTTAGTTTCACATTTGCAGCTCTAATTGCATCCAAGTCTTCCCAAAGTCTACAATCATGCTCCTCTTTAGTTGGGCCCCAGATGGTGATGTCATCCATTGAGGCATCGACACCGTTAATATGTTCATAGATCATATTATGGTTTTGTGGTACACTTCTGGTGCTGAAGCTATGCCGAAGGGCGAGCGTAAAAATCTATATCTTCCAAAGGGGGTATTAAATGTGACAGTTTTGAGGTTTCTTCAATATTTATAAATAAATAAATAAATAGTTGGGGATTAGGTCCTGCTTTGAGCAGGGGGTTGGACTAGATGACCTCCTGAGGTCCCTTCCAACCCTAGTATTTTCTGATTCTATGATTTTTAGCTGCCAAAATCCTGAGGATGCATCCAATATACTGAAATATTGTGCATTCACAAATTGAGTCATAATCTCTTCTCTGGTTGGCAGTTTTCCTTTTACAGCCTTGTTGAGGACACTGGATCTAAGCATATGCGTAACTGGCCATTATTTTTCTCTACAACGACTAGGGAGCTCACCAATTCCACTGGCTCTTCAATTTTTTGTGTTACATGCATTGCTTCCATTCTTATGAGTTCAACCTTCAGTTTATCATGGAGTGCAAATGGCACCTTTCTATATGGATGGATAACTGGAGGGACCTGCTTGTTTATCTGGATTGTATGTTCACCCTGCAAGCAACCCAACCCTTGAAACAGATCATGATATTCCCGAACGATTGCCTCATAGCCAGGTTCAGTATGGTCTTGGAGTGAAAATACTTGTTTTACTAGGTTGAGTTTTTCACAGGCCACCAGGCCTAAAATTGGTGTCACTTCCTTTGGCACCACAATGAATGGGAGCCTGCACAGGTGTTTTTATAGTTAATGCTAGCAATGCACTTCTCCTTCACTGGTATATTTCTTCCAGAAAAAAACAGTTACTTTTATTTTTGTTGGTTCCAGTTTGGATCTTATTTTCCGTGTCTCATAATCTTGTTCAGACAGAACATTAACCTCAGCTCCTGTGTCTAGTTTGAGTGGAATAATTATTTCATTCACTTTCAGAGGCAGTCTCCAATCACTCTCATCAGGTTTGCTTGATCCCAGAATGTCTATGTAAAACTCCTCAACAAGGTTGTATTCAACTGAGTATACTTGACTTTTCTGCATTTGGGATCTGCAGCATTGTGCAAAATGATTATTTCCCCACATTTTTGTCAGAGTTTTCCAAGTCAAAACACTTTTTGGACCATGCTGTGATCCACACCTTCCACATAAATGTCTGTATTCTGTGTCCCCACTAGCAGAAGTTTTCATAGAGAGTGGTTCCAATTTTTGATTTGAGCTTTTCTGGCTAAATTCTTTTGTACTTAGTACATGGAAACCCCTTCTGGTGAATTCAGCTCTTTGGCTTGTGCTTTCATAGTTGATGCTGCCCTGCAGATCTGGAGAGCTTTATCTGAAGTAAAATCTTCACAGAGCAGTCTCTCTCTCTTAACATATTGTCTTTAATGCCACAAATTATTTCTATTGCTGACCAGAGACTGTCAGCTCACCAAAGTCACAGGTTTAACTGAGTCTTCTTAATCAAATGTTCTGTGGTGTCATAAGTTTTTTACATGCATGTAAAAAAATTGTGTTTCTCAAAGGTCTTATTTTGTTTTTGGCATGCAATGTTCCTCAGATTTAGTCAGAATACTTAGCTTCATGTTTCACCTTCTTCAAACTTAAAGTTATTATAAATATCCAATCCTTCCTCCCCCAAAACATGCAAAAACATTGATGATTTCACTTTATCTTTTTTTCTCCTTTGTCCTTATAGCTGCTAAATACAATTCAGATAGCTGTCAGAACTTCTCCCAGTTCTGTGCAGCATTGCCCGACAATTGCAGACTGGATGGCGCTTGCAACACCATCCATATTTGGCTTTCTTCCCTTCTTCAGCTAGTTAAGCTATACTATGCTCAACATACAAAAGCTTTTGTTTGCTCTCTGGTTGCTGCTCCACCTGCTCCC